ATAATGGGCAGGGGGTAGGGATGTAGGGAAGGGGGTGGGGGTGGAGTCGTGGGTGTGGGATAGGGATGGGGGCCGGGGAGGATGTGAAGAGGTGGGTGGCGGTCCTCTGGTCTAGAAGGTGACTAGGTCACAGAAGCAGGCAGCAAGAGCTGAGACCGCTCTTCACAGTCCGTTGATGTCTTCTCTGCTCGAGGGTAAGCAGAGGTCGGGTCACACAGCTGAAGTGCTGGGAGTGTTTCAGGAGGTGCCAGAGGCTAGATGTAGAACCAGCTTCAGCTGGCCTCTCCACAGCCTTCTCAGGCCCACCACCCAGATGGGCACTGGGTGAGACTTTCACCCTCTGTGCTGGGGGCAAGGTCATTGGAAGCTATCCTGGGGAGGCCCTGCTACTGAGCCACAGCCTTCACTGGCTTAGAATGTGATGTTAAGCTTGGCCTTGTTGTCTCCCCAGACACCCTCCCTCCTGCCCCTCCTCGCTGTCTTGATGTCCATCTCCAGTCTCACACTTGGAAACCTTCTGCCACCGCCCAGCCTTAGGCTTCCCGGTGGACTTTCCAAAGACAGTCCCACAAGCAGTAACTGCTCTTGGGAGGAGCTTAATAGAAGCCCAACAAAGCTCCTGAATGGAAGACCACACTGGGTGATGTCCCCTGCCCAACCCTCTCCCAGACCACTGGTGGGAGTTCTGGGGTCCAGTAAGAAAAGCCAGGGGAATTCTGGGAGTTCTGTGTGATGGCTGTGACCTGGCTTCAATGCAGTATTGGTACCAGGGGTTGCATCTGCAAGATTACTCCAGATACCAGGACTGCCGGCTTCATTCTCTCTGGCTCAGAGCAGGAGCAGACCCAGGCTGGGGAGTCCTATATTGTAAATAAAGCTGCCGCCCAGAATAGTCCAGAAATTTGCAACCCTGGAAGTGAGGCAACAGGAGTATCTGAAGCGTCTGAAGCACCTTCCCGCAGACTCACCTCCCCCTACACACATACACACACACACACACACACACACACACACACACACACACACACACACACGACTGGATCCACCCTGAGGAGCCACCCACGGGTCAACATCCTGCTTCCGGCAGACCCTCCTCCTGGAGACCTCACAGAGGGGTGTTCGTTCGCAGTGGGCGACGGGAGAGATGCTAATCGCCACAGATCGGCGCTGCTCTGGGCTGAAGGTCAGGAGGTAAGGCGACCCACAGTTATAAATAACCGTGCCAGGCTGCTGAGGGCAGCTTGCTAGGTCCTCACCCCTCCCTGGCGGACCAGTCGGATTGATTTCTGGCCTCCCAGCCATCACGGGAACTTGAACCCCAGAGAGCTGACCTTTGGGGGGGGTGCACAAGGTCAGGCCAGGGTTCCTGGGCTTCCCTGTATCCTAAATGAAGGCAGTTGTACCTGTCCCAGTCAGAAGAGACCAGAAGGTGGAGGTCTTTGCGCATGCGACCCCCAAATGCAGGTACCTGATCCTGCACCCCCGCTCTGGCAAGCCAGTCCTCAGACTGCTCTAGCTGAGATAGGGAGGCCCAGGATGTCCCAGCCGGGGAGGGACCGCCCAGCCTCCAGAGGCCTGATCTGATGTGGAGTTGACCCCAGAGGCATGTGTTCTCTGCTAGATGGGAACAAGAGTCCCCGGTCTTACTCTGGAAGACCGGGGTGGCAGCAGTCCGTCAGCTGGCTATGCACCAGGGAGGCAGGGATGGCTCCCTACCTCCTCGTGGACGGATAAGGGGGGGGGGGGGGATTTGATCCGCAGGGTAGGGGAGGTATACCTTCTATTTTTAAAAACAAAACTTTCTTTGGGGCAGAGGGTGGGGTTAAAGGCCGCAGGCCAACCGTTAGACAAAGTGTTACAGCTGAGGGACTTAGCACAAGGTGAACATAGCCATGTGGCCAGTACCCAGACCAAAACACAGCAGCACCGGGCAGAGGACACAGGGACGGGATGGTAGCGCAGTTGGGAGAGTCCTGGCCTAGCTTGTGAAGCCCAGGGTTCCGTCTCTGGCACCACTGATGGAGCTTGCCTTTAATCCTAGCACTCGGGAAGAATAACAAGTAGAAGACTGAAGTTCAGGGTCATCCTTGACTACCTGTAGAATCTGAGACTACCTGGACTACACGAAACCTTGACTCAAAAACAAACAAAAAGGACCCCTCAAGTCAGCACGAACCACCACCAGAAAAGCTCATCAAAAAATCCTCTCACTGACAACTCTTACAGGTGAGCCCCGTGGTGCCAGCCCACTGACAGCTCTGAGGGTGAGCCCCATGCCGCCCCCTAGGCTGTGGTCATTTTTAACATGTATACATGTGGCATGGTGTTACACAGTACCTACTGTGTAGTGTGGTGTTTGTTTTGCTCAGTGTCCTGTGAGGTCCAGCCATGCTGTTGGGCAGTCCCAGACCACTCATAGGTCACTGGTCTTGCTGGGAACTTGTCACCCTGTGACTCTCTTTTACTGTTGACGGACACTGGGGTGGGTTCCAGTTCCTGGCAACAGTGCCGAGCATCGCTGGGCCCACTCCAGCCTGTGCCCTCAGATCCATAGGACAGGCATGTCTCTTTAGCTCAGATCATTCAGGGAGTGCTGACTTCTCACCAACACGGTCGCAGAACAGCCCAATGTTAGTTTTTGGTTTTCATTCTAAAAAGAGAGCTTGCCTCTTTTTTTTTTTCTTCTTAGTAGAAGGCACAAAAATGCAAAAAAAGAAAGGAAAATCACCATTACTACATTTAGAGGTATCTAACTAGTCCAGCCAGTCAATGACTGTTTCCTAAATCTCTCTTGTAGGTCAAACTCAGGACAGAGAAAGCTTGTCTCCCCGGCAGGCAGCCCGGAGTCTGGCCAGCGTCTGGCCAGCAATGGCATCTCCCAGGGAGCCTCTAGGCGCCCTCAGCATGCTCCATAACCTCCATTACGGCTCCTCGCCCCTGCAGCCTCCATCTTGCAGGGCTCACCATGCACCTGCAACTCAAGGCAGAGCCGGGCCTGGGGCAGCCAGCACCCCAAGATTCAACACTGGTTAGTCAAATGGTCTGAAGAGTTTGCTGCATTTGGGAGAGGGGCAAGTGTAGAGGGTGTGCATGGGAGGCAGTAGGCGTTGTCAGGGGCTGCTGTAGTGAGGTGGGGTGAGCATCAACTCTGGAGGACACTGTCTAGATGGGAGGCCTCACAGGCCCTTGCCCTCCGTCCCAAGGGTTTAAGGGAGACTGGGCTTTTTACTTAATCTCTTATTACAGTGCTAGACATTGGCCTCGGGCCTCACATATTCAAGGTAGGCACTCTGACTATGAGGTATAGAGTCTCAGCTAAGTTACCCAGCCTGGCTTTGAACTTGCTGTGCAGGCTAGGCAGGCCTTGAACTTTTGCTCCCGCTGCATCAGCTTCTGTGCCCCCACACGCAGCCACCGATGTGTTTCTCTAGCAAGAACACTCTCTGGATGTTCGGGAGCACAGGAGACAAGAAGAACAAGGCCTGGGTTATAAACAAGTGGTGCCGTGGTGGAGGTTTCTGCCTTACAGAGGGTAGGGAAGCAGGGTGGAATTGCAGACCTAGGAGGAGATGCGATTGGCTGAGGTCTGGGGAATTTCTTTCCCGTCTTTCATACACATGAGTCCACTTTGGACTTGAGGAGAACAGAGCCAGTCCTGGGAGCCCTAGCGGTGGAGAGAGAGTTCATTCATTCACCCTTTCATCTTTTCATTCAGCAGTAGAAGGACCTGTGCTGACATATGTTCTCCTAGGAAGGAAGACCCAGTGTGCTGCATTCCCGTGCCTAAGCACCCAGTGTTCACGTAAAACTCTGTCAGAGTATGAAGCACAGTCAAAGACTGCCTGGCCTCCAGACTACTTCCCTGCCCTAGTGGCTGAGGTGGGCTCCTCGGGTTGGACTCAGGCTGAGCAGCTGCTACAGGCCTAAAGCCCATGGACAGGATGCCCAGACCAGGGGTACAGAGCCTGAGCCCCACCCTCTCCTGCTCAGCCTGGGCCAGCTCCCCTCACCTCTCACTGCCAACTCACTATCTCCACTTGGGCTAGTGATCGGCCTCTTAAGCCTGGTGTGCTCACGAGGGCAGCCCCCAAACTGCCTGGTGTGCTCACGAGGGCAGCCCCCAAGCTGCCACTCCTGTAGTCTCCTCCCTGCTTGTCTAACCACAATCACCTCCGCCCACACAGCCAGGCAAACCCCTTCGAGTCATCCATTCATTGCTCACCCGGTGTCTCTGCCAGAAAATGCCCTCAGCTCTACCCTTAGCTTGTGTGTATTCAGAGGAGCTCAGAGTGGCGGCTCACGCCTGTCATCCCAGCGCTTGGAAGGCAGACGCAGAACAGTCATCAAATTCAAAGCCAGCCTGGTCTACACAGTGAATTCCAGGCTAGCCAAGGTTACAGAGCAACAACCTGTCTCAAGAGAGAAAATAATAACAAAAAGCATATCTTCACATGGAAGCTCCTCTTTTTTTAAAAAAAAAATCTTGATTAATGTTAATTATGTGCAGGTGCCAAGTGGCCAGAGGAATTGGATCCGCCAAGAGCTGGAGTTGCAGGCAGTTGTGAGACACCTGATGTGGTTGCTGGTTGGTTTCAGAACTCAAGTCCGAAAGAGTAGTACATGCTCTTAACCACTGAGCCATCCCTCCAGCCCCCCAGGAGCCACGCTGCACGCCTGGTCCCAGCCGGCGTTGGCACTCACTGGCTGCTTCCTTCAGTTCCAGGCATCACAGCCGATTGATTTTATTAAGAAGTGAGTCAGATCATGCCATTTGCCTGGTCCCCCGTTCTTCAGAGGAAAAACCGAAGTCGTCTGTGGTGGCCTTTACCCACCTCTACCTGCCCCGTCTCATCTCCGATACCGCTCATTTGGGTCAGCTACTGGCTTTGTTCTGTGATTACACAACCCATGTACCGGCCCCAGGGCCTTTGTACTGGCTGTTCTCTCTTGGCACCTTCTCCCCCCAAGTGCCACCTTCTTCAGTTCTTCATGAGGGTTCCCCTCCAGACAGCCTTCCTTCCTTCTGGACCTCCATGCTGATCGCTGTCAGTGCCCAGATCTTGCTTTCTAATCCATTCTGTGCTGAGAGGACCCATGGCTTCTTGGAGAAATGGCTGCTTCTTGGACTAGGACAGGAAATAGGCAAGATGTGACCAGAGTATCTGAATGCCTCAGAAAGGAAGGAGGAATTGGAGACAGGAGTCACCCGAACGTGGATGTGTCCAGCGGTGCTGGAGCCACCGTACGGCACAGCAGGTAGGGCTGGATTGTGTGACCCAGAGGTAAGACACATTTGCCAGCTTGTGACAGTCAGTGGGAGAGAAGAACCCAGGTGTCACGTGGCACGGAATGTCACGTGGCTCCTCACACAGGCATTACCAGCCAGGGTCGAGGTCAACAGCAACAAGTTAGACTGTGGACCAAGGTGTGAAAGAAATGGCACTGTCCCTTTGTCACCTGGCTCCCCAGGGCTCACAACCCCGGTTTAGTCGTGTGAAGAAACAGCAGACAAAAAAAATTTTTAGCTGTATTTTTTTATATTTTGGGACAGGGTTTTGTGTAGCCCTGGCTGGCTTTGAACTCACTGTGTAACTGAGGATTGCCTTGAACTTCTGACTCTCCTGCCCCCACCTCTAACATACTGGAATTATGGGGGTGTTCTGCCATACCCAGCTTCCAGCAGGCAAATTTTGGTTTGAGGGCATCTACAAAATACCTGACTGGGATCCCTCAAAACTACTAGAATCATCAAAGTGAGAACTGCTCTGGCCGAGAGAAGCCTCTAGAGGGGAAACAATGAAATGGAATGTGGTATGTGGAGGGGTTCCGGGACGGAAAGGGCTTAGTGGACAAAGGTCTGGTGAAAGGACTCGAGAAGTTTCCATGGCTAATAATTACTACTGGGTGTGGTGACACTATACCTTAACTCAAAAGCTGAGGCAGGAGGATGGTGAGTTTGAGACCAGCTTGAGCTACAGAGACTCTGATATATATATATATATATATATATGTATATATATATCACTCATATATATATATATATATAT